TAAATGAGGTCATTCAATAAACCAAAGACTGTATCAATGGCATCCATAGCTTTTGTTCCTGTTTAAAGTAATGCCATAATTTAATCATGAGTTGAAGTTGCTGAGGCAATGCTCACCAATAAAAGGATTGCAATTGTAGCTTTCATCTCTAAAATAAATAATATTAATCAACCATCTCTCTAACTATGTTAAATAACAAATACTTACAATTCATCTAATTTTCAAAAACGGGTATTCTAAAATTNTAATTTGATTGTTTTATAGTTTTTCAATATATTAATCATCTTCCAGACCAAGAGGCAACTTATTTCTTGAACATGATGATGACTTCTTACAAGATGGCATTTTCTTCATCTCTCTTAGCTTTAGCTTCTTCATAATCAGCTCTCTTATTTTCCAAATCAGATTAGGCTTAATCAAGAGCATCTTATGATTCTTAGAGGATAATCTTTGATTTTGCTTATTAAGCTAAGGCAGCTTAAATTTACTAAATTATAAATAAAATTAAAATACAGTTGCAAGTCTATCAGCATAAACTTATTTTCTTTCATATTCAACTTTAAGGTTTGCAATTTCAGCTTCACTCAAAGAGACCCATCCTGCTAATTCCCATGAGGCATTAATTTCATTGACTTCCAAAGCCTCAAGAGAAGCTTAGAGATTTGCTTCAAGGGATTCCAAAACTGCCAAAACTCTTTCAGCTAATGTGGCACCTCTACTAACCTAAAGAATAGAATTAGGATTAATACAGATCCATCTTCTTATTTATTAGCTAAACTAAGGAAAGATTTGACTTCTTATTCATTGAAAAGGTTGCTGTATGCCTTTAATTTTTCAGCAACACTTGTGGCTTTTTCTTAGACTAATTCAAATGAATCTCCATTTATGATGTAACCAGCAACATCTTATTTAAGAACTCTGACAACTTCAAGAGCTTCTCTATTTTATTTGATTGATCTAACAAAAAGTTAATTGCTTAAACACTATTCATCTAATAAGACTTAAATCTTTCTTGCAATTTCATCTTATCTTTATTCATTCCATGCCAAATAATTCTTTGTGTCAGAGAGTTCTTATTCAAATTAAACTCTGTTTTCAATTGATTATTAGAAAAGCTTTTAGTTTAAGGACTTGATTTTAGTGAATTATTCAATAGTTCTAGAATTAGATCATGATATTTTACTATGCACCAATCCATTCATCTGTTTCATTCTTTTAATCAGCAGCAAATTGAGCATCCTTATTTGATTAAATGAGGTCATTCAATAAACCAAAGACTGTATCAATGGCATCCATAGCTTTTGTTCCTGTTTAAAGTAATGCCATAATTTAATCATGAGTTGAAGTTGCTGAGGCAATGCTCACCAATAAAAGGATTGCAATTGTAGCTTTCATCTCTAAAATAAATAATATTAATCAACCATCTCTCTAACTATGTTAAATAACAAATACTTACAATTCATCTAATTTTCAAAAACGGGTATTCTAAAATTAATATAGATCAATCACTTATTTATAATATAATATTAAATACATATAAATTTTACATAATCATTGATCCAAATATCTGTTGAATCAAAAACATAAGAAAATAATATAATATTAAACATATCTATAATACATATATATCATTAGTTAAAATAATTCATAAGTTCCTTTCCAAAACATTCACATACTCTTTTATGTGCATAACCCAATTAATGAGATGATCTTTTTGCATAAATACTAACAATAATATACTAAATTCTTTTTAAGTCAATATTTGAATCAATAAATTAAGGATTATTTATATATTCCCTATTAATTTATTATTCAATACTAAGAATCAATCTAATATAAGGAGTTCCAGGAATTATTAATTAAATTTTACCGAAATTAGAATATAATTCCTAATTTCTATACTCTGATTCAGCAGAACTTATTTCATAACGATATAATTTGTAATGTTAACAAAATTGAATTACTTTCTCAAAATTAAATCTTTCTATTCTTTGTTCAAACACAACTATATACTTTTAAATTCCATTATCTATTAATTTTTATATGCTCTTTAATGTAAGAGCAGATAATTATATTAACTTTAATTCATTATTACAAATAGTAAATCGAAAAACTTTACTATCAATAATTAATTTAATGGCTAACTTTTCATTCCATGAATCACTCTATTCAAATTAATGTTAATGACTTATTTCAAGACTCTGACCAATAAACATCTATTTGTTAACCAATTTAATATCTCTTTATAACAATTAACCACTATAGTATGTTTTAATCTACATTTCTTCAATTACACAATTTTATAGACAATCTAATATAAAAGTATGAACTCCTATAATCTTATTTCCAATATTATTTCTTTTTAATATTTTCTAATCTACTTCATGTCCACCATTATAGACTTTTACATTAAATTTAAATTTCAAAAGAATTTTATTCAATTAAATTTATCCACTATCAATGAATTAGGTAATTTCATAACTTTGAGATCTTTTTATTAAAATAAGATCCTTTAAGATTTAATTATTAATTATAAGATGATCATCTTTTAAAAAATCAGTACTTGTATTATGACTATTAAATTGAGACATTTACTATTTAGTATGATTAATATTTGAGATTTAAGAAGTCAACATAAATTTAGATTATTATTAAACAGTTTAATTTATTTATTATGATAAATCTAATTATAATGTAACAGATTGTAATTCGATATTTGTTTATAAATTTATATTTTGTTCATTCTATTTTATCTTTGTAATAATAACATTATTGTCTTTAGATTTTACAATAATTATCTATAATATTGTAATTATTATATTCAATATGAAATATATTGATAACAATATCAATACAATAAAGCCAAATTCATAATTTTCTTATTAAACTAAAACATAAGATGTGATAAGTAAACAGTATGATATTATGTTTGTTATATTTATTAACTTATTCTTTATATTTTTAGATTTTAATAACATTAAAAATTGTAATACGATAAATATTCCATTAATTCCTATTTCTAAATAAAATATTATCAAAAATTTATTTATAGCTATTGGAATTATACCCATCAAAAGCTCATTTAATATAAAAATAAAATAATGAATCAAATATATTGTCTTATTTTATTAATCAATAGTGATTTTTGTAAAATAATTTAAGAAATCCTTTTTAGATTCATCTCTTATTGTTATCAACGGTCTCATAATAAAGATAAGATAAAATAATAGTAAAATACCTCCAATTATACAAAAAATGATATTTAAAGGATCTTTTGATTAATTTTGAATTGTTTATGTTATCTACCCAACACTACCAAAGGATATTTCGAAAATACTCCCTTCCAAATAATAGATAGTTAGTTCTTGGAAGAATTTAGGCCATTTTTCTGTGAACAATTTAGGAATGCATAATAGAAGTAAAAGTAATAGGACAAAAAGAGTAAAATCACAATCATGTAATAACATAGAAGTATAATTCGAATTTAAGTAATATTAATTTTCAACCTTGATATTTGAGTTAGTTCCAAAGAGATAATAATATTTACCATTAGTTTAATCTGTTTAATCATAAGGTATTTGAGTACCTTCTGTTCCAAATCTGAGATATGCAAATAAGGCAACTCCACAAAAATAATATAAATTCATCATATATGGTTTGAACATGATAATCAATTTAAATGGTAAGAGATTAGTAAGTATTACATTTGAAATCTCAAAATAAAAAAATATTGTACTATTCTAATAGATCTTATGACTATAAAGAATATTCCTATTTATTCAAGAGAATAAATAGTTTAATTGTAGTTATAGAGCGTTTGAGTCTAGTCTTAATAATTTTAAGGAATGTCTGATAGCATTTTTATTTTTGAATTTATGTTAATATTTTTAATTTTATAATTATATATTCATACTAAAGTAATTATTATGTATTAAGATTATATAATGGTTGTTCATAATATTTGAAAAAAATCAATTTCTTTTTGAATAATTAGTTCATTTTAAACAGTTTTGTATATTTTATCCAAATTTTAAAAGTTATAAAGAAAAATTCTTTTTCTATTGAATAACTCTTAATTTAACTCCTTCAATGATAGTATTGGCATTATTTTTACAAATAATATCAAATAATTTTTTTATATTTGATTTTTAATGCACAATTTTGAGATGTTTAAAAGTAGTAAATTATTTATGTTATTCTGTTATAATGGGGTAAAAAAATTGGTTAATAATTCTGAAAATCTTTTTAGAAAACTTTAAAAGTAGTTTAATATTCTATAGATATAGAAATCTTAAAATATAAATCTTAATAATTACTTAATTAAAATTAATCATATAACTATTGGAAACAGATTTTAGCTGATTTATTCTTTCAATGTAAACCCCAATAAGACATTTATTGATTCTTCTTATATTGTTAGTAATCTAATTTAATAATTTTTTTAACTTCAATAATCACTCTAAATACATTTATATTTGGTCTAATATTTATTAATCTTGAAAAACATGCTCATTAGCATTTTATTATTGAATATAAATGTCTTTTTTGCCATTTGATTTTACCTAATCCTCAATTCATTTTAAGAATTTCTTTGATAAGTTTAATATGAAAATTTATTTCCCTCATTAAAAATAAGCATTCTTGCTACAAATTCTTCCTACTTCTATAATCAAAATATATTTCATCTTTTGAACATTTCTGGTCATATATATTTCTCTAAAATCCCTCTGTTACAATATTCAATTATAAGATATAAATTGTTTATTTTCTAAGCATATCTACAAATTTAACAAAATTCTATCTTATATTTTTCTCATTCATGAAATCTCAAACATAACTATTTTCTAACCTTTCTCAATCTCTTTTTCATTCTATTTATATAATGCAATTTGTTTGATTGCAATAAATAGACAGCTATTTTAAGTCTTAAATTAAATATAAATCTCCATAGACATGTGAATTCGGTCAAGTCCTATTTTTTTGTATATATTAATTTATAAATGATTATTTATACAACAATTTTCTTATATTTTGTGTAAACTTTGGCTAATTACTATGGAACAGCCTAACCAGATATCTAATAAATAATTAAACTGAACTTTACTTAAAAAGTAAACAGTCTAATAATCAAATTCTATAAAAGAGAAAATGATGTACTTTGTTTGGTGTCTCCTAATGATTTGGATCAAACTAAATTAAGTGATTTAGACTTAACCTATAATCCAAAAGGATTTGAAGTTTATGATTATTAAAGTTATTAAGCCAACAGTGAGAATCAACTAATATAAATAGTTTATATGGCGATGATCTACATAAAATGTTTTCAATTAAATTAAAATCAACAATAACCTATAAGTCTAGAAATCTATTATTCTGAAAATTAATTTGTTTAAGGATGTATAAATGATTGTAATGGATACAATTATCCTGAAATTATTGATTCTATTTGCGTATCTTAATAATGTCATTGTTTAGAAGGTACATTTGGATAATATTGTTAATTTTAATCTGTATAGATATCAAACAATATTCTTACTACTTTTACATTAGATGCTCATAAATGGAAATATTTTTAATATCAGTTTAGTTCTAGTGACATAAATCTATTTTGTTAAAACTAAGAAGAAGAATTATGTATTTAATTTTCTAATATATATAAATAGATTATAGCTTTGTATTAAAATAAAATCCTTAATTGAATATTCCTAATCTAAAAGAAAGCTAAAAATTAATGTCACTCAATAATATTTAATAAGAATTAAAAAAAAAATAAACTAATGTCTATGTTGATATAATTTATATAGGATTGTACAATAATCAATCTAAATCCATCAATATTTAATTTAAGATTATCAATACTGATATAGAAGAAGAAAGCACATTTGAAAAAAATAAAATAGTTATTATTGTAACTGGATGTGTTGTAGGATCATTACTATTATTTGCTTTTGGATTATCAGCTCTCAAATCTCGATAATAAAGATAATTTTAATAATAAATATAGGAGGCCATTAGAAGAAATCTAAACTAAGTACATAATATGGAATAAGCTTAAAGTCCTGAACGTTAACTTGTTTAAACTAATCATAAAGGTAATACTTAAGCAACTTATGAGGTTTTTCGTTAAGGTTTATTAAAGATCATTTTAAAGGACATGCTTATGAAAAAATAATTAAAGCATATCCAGGTTTGTCCCAATTTGAAGAATGTGTTGTTTGTTTAGAATAAATGAAAAAAGCTAATACTAAATTATAAAAGATTTGTTCAGTTACTCCTTGTTTTCATATTTTTCATTGTATGTGTTTAGAAGAATGGTTATTAAGATAAAAAAATTGTCCTTTTTGTAGAACTGAATACACTAGAAAGAAAATAATTAAAGATTATCCTTGGTTGGAAGTTAATACAATTAGAGTTAACAATACAGATTCTACTTATTTAAGTCGCATGAAAAATAACTAAGAAAATATAAATGAAAGTTAAATTGAATTTGTAAAATAGTAACCAAGTGAATAATTATAATCAAATTAAATTGAAGAATGAATAATTAAGATTATCAAATTTTATAGTCTAATTTTTATATTTAAATCTAAAAGAATAATTATTTTTTAATAAATTATTAATATATATAGAATTTATAATATTATCAATTGATTTTTTATTCTTTATAATAAAATCAATCTAAATCTAATTACATCTCTGTTTATCTTGTATCTATATATTATTCTAAAGGTGCTTAAATAAAACTTGAATCTAATATTTCTTTTTATGTTTCTAAAAACTTTTTATGTTATCTTCTAGAATATAATCTATAAAAATCCCAAATAGCATAGACTCCTAAAACTATAAGTACTCTCCCAATAATTGCTTTAGATGTTAATTCATCAACAAATTAATATGTTTATTCTTCATGTTATGTTTCATAAGAAGGTTTTCTAAAATTGTACCATTTATTTTAATAGTATTCCCTTTTATTTGTGCTATAAAAATAAGAATCAGGATTCACATCATTAGCTGAATGTGCTTCTCCAGATTATTCAAAATTTAAAGCATCAGAATCATAGAGTTATCTTTTGATTGGATCTTTAAGTACTTGATAAGCTTTAGATATTTCTTTGAATTTCTCTTCTGATCCAGATTCACCATTATCAGGATGATACAATTTCACCAATTTAATATATTACAATTTAATTTCTTTAGTTGTTGCTTTTGGTGTAACTTCTAATACTTCATAATATGTCTTAGGTATTTTGTTTGTGAAAATAGAAAAGTAATTTATTGATTTTCTTAATAACATTAATTTATTATGTCAGATTAAGAAGAAGAGTCACCAAGATAAGATGAATTTGGATAAAGAATTATAAAATTAAAAGAGTTAACTCCCCTTGAAAAAGAATATTTTGAAAAGGCTCGTTAAAGACACAAAGAAAATATTTATAAAGATTAAATAGTACAAGGTAGAAAATTTGAAGGAGTAGCTTTTATTTCTAAACCTGCTGAGATAATTTTCAAAGTATTATGAACATTCTTATTATAGGATTTTGATGTAGGTAAACCACATACAATAATTATGTAACTTACAAATGTTTCTTACACATTCAATTCATTCAAAATACTTCCATTGCCTGAAGCTGTTAGAGTATGAAATAAATTTGAATTAAGGATTTTTTTGAATTGATATATACACCACCTGGTAGAGTTTCAGCAGGCATGTCTTGTCCAATAACAGTTAGATTTACTCCATAATTAAATGATGATATAGATGTTTAATTATAATGTTAAGCAGAAACAGGACCCTTTTAAATTCATATTTTATGCACAAGCAAAAAAGCAATTGCAAAAGTAGAATAACCTGTTATTGATTTTGGCAAAGTAATTTTAGGAGAAGATTCAACTCTCATTCTTAAAATTCAAAATTTAGGAGCTCTAGACACAGATGTTATTATAAGAAGTGCAAAAGGCATAGATTTATAAACTATAGCTACTGAATCAGTTTCTTAAAAATCTAATAGAGATCGACCTTTTGATGAAGAAGGTATTTTACCTTACTTAAAGTAACTTAAATTCTAAAGATAACATATATTACAAGGATATTCTATGCTTAAAATACCAATTCAATATATTCCAGCAGAAGTTGGTCCCTTTTCATTACCTCTAACATTGTATTATGAAAATTTCTTACATTCTCCACCTTGTCAAATTGAAATTAGAGGATATTGTACTGAAGTACCAATTTATGTAGAAAAATAAATTTATAATTTTTAAATTTGTTTATTCAATCATATTTATAGAGAAAAGATTGTGTTTTTTAATAGAAGTTAGAATGCAATGAAAATTTAAATTTAAACTCCAAAAGAGACTAAAGATTTCTTTGAATTTAATCCAAAATTAGGATACATATAAGGAAATTCTAAATTTGAGATTTGGGTTAAATTTAATGCAGAAAGACAATTACAAACAATATGTTAAAGATTTTTTAAGGATAATGTAATAGATGTTCCCTTTAAATTAATTGGAGCTGATTAAAAAATGCCTGTTCCCTTTAATATAGTTGCTTAAATGACTATGGCTACTCTTTAAATTACACCTGCTAGATTAGACTTTGGAAAATTGTTTGATGGATAAGGTGCAAAAAGAGCTATCACATTTGAGAATTTAAGTGATTTACCTTAAGAATTAGCAATCTACCCTTTACCAAAAGAGATATCAATTACAACTGATTTAGTACCATTACGTTTACTTCCTAAATAAAAATTTACAACAGATATAATATATAGAACTCAGAAAGTAATTGGAATTAGTGATAGATAAGATGAAGGAATTTTAAAATGTAAAATAGTTTCAGGTACTATATCAACAAAAGAAATAAGAATACCTTATACTTGTGAAATTTCTAAATGTCCTCTAGAATTTTCAGGAATAAAATTTGATATTCCAGTTTAATAAATTGAAGAAAAATATTCAACTACAATTGATATAAAAAATATATCTTAAAGAGATATAATAATTGAATTTTTTTTACCTTTTTATGAATTATGTGGTCTTAAAATGGCTCCAATGGTTCAATAAATTTAAAGGGATTAATTAATATAAGTACATTTGGAATATGATTCTTTCTTTAAAAAATTAGGTGCTTATACTCTTTAAGAATTAAAAGAAAAATATGAAAATGATCCAAATAATAATTTTGAATTAAGATTAAAAATTAGATATGAAGAAGAAGAAAGAAAGAAAAGAGAATAAGAAGAATTAAAAAAAGAAGAAGAAATGGCAACTAAAGGTAAAGGTGCAAAAAAAGAAGTTAAAAAAGATTAAAAAAAACCAGAAAAATTAACAAAAGCTTAATAATAATAATTAGAAGAAGAAGAAAGAAGATAAGCAGAATTAGAAAAATTAAAATAAGAAGAAGAAAGACTTAAAAGAGAAGAATTTGAAAAATAATTTGATAGTGCTAAAGAATTAAGAAATCTAGGAGGTACTCTTGTTGAATTCAATAAACCTGAAGATTTAAGTATTATTTTATAATATTATATAAGATTATTCATAACACTATTCTTGGTTAATTCCATGTTATTTTAAATACACTGATATGCCAGATAATGCAAAATAAGTAATATATTTATAGATTTCAACTGTTACTGTATAAAAAAGTTTGCTTTTGAGTAAAACCATAATAGATTTTGGTGAAGTTGCAGTTGGAATAAGGTAAACCAAAGAACTTACCGTTTTCAATCAAACTCCATTTAAAGCTGAATTAAAAATGCAAATGTTACCAATCTCTTGTGGTTTTACAATTTTAAATGCTCTTAGAACAATAGAACCTAGTAATAAGAAGTCTTTAATTGTTTAATTTTAACCAACTGAAGATTAGCCATTTGAGGAGACTTTATAATTATATTGTGATCATGCAGCAGTTTCAGCAAAATTAAAAGGAATAGGTGTCAGACCAGAAGTAAAGGTTGTACCAGAAAATGGATTAATATCTGTTGGAGGTGTAGTATTAGGAGAATATACAGAAAGAACATTTAAAATAACAAATGTTTCAAATTTTCCAATAAAATTTTAATTAATAAGTAAAGCTAGGGGAGTTTAAAATTCTTGTGGAACTGAAGTGTTTTAATTTATACCTTAAGAGGCAATTGTAAATGCTTAATAAGAAATAACTTGTAAGGTGATTTTTAAACCCGATCGAGTTTCAGATAAATTTTATGATCTAATATCAGTTTATGTACCAAATTAGAAATCTGAAAAGAGAGTTTTTATTTGGGGATATTGTTATAATCGTTAAGCTTATGTAAATGTTTATTAACCTTATAATTTAATACCTTAAATTAATGAAATTAATAAGAAAATTGAATTTCCTTTTGATTAATTGAAATTAAAGGATGAAGAGAAAGTTTATACATATTTAAACAATAAAATTATGCTTGAATTTGAGAAATTGAAAGAAGAAGATAATTCTAGAAAGATTGTTATTGGTAGTTGTAAACTTTTGGATCCTAAAATGGAGAAACCTGTAAATTATGAAGTAATATTATCTGTAATTTATATATCTTATAAATTTGATAGAAAGATGAAAAATACTTTGTTTGTGATAATTAAAAAGGTGCCATATAACCAGGAAATGAAGTTGTAATAACATTTACATTTAAACCTCCTTAACCAGATTAATTTATAGCCTCTATTGAAGCTTTAAAGAAGATAGGATAATGGAAGGAAACTAAAATTGAATTAAAAATATCAGGTGGATTTTTAAAACCAGGAGTGTAAGATAATTTAAGCTATGAATTGATTCTGAAAGCATTCATTAATTAGATTTGATTTCTATTAAAAAAAGTTCATTTTGCAATTAAATATATGATTTAAGTGTCTGAAGTTACTTTACAAGAAGCATAGGCAAAAAAAGAAGAGGGTAATAAGTTCTTTGCTGAAAAGAAGTATGATGAAGCTATTAAATGCTATTCTGAAGCTGTTGGTATTTTATATTAATTATCTATGACTAGATCATAATCCTAATGAACCTATATTTTATTCCAATAGGGCTGCTTGTTATTTAGCATTAAAAAAATACAAATAAGCTTTAGATGACACAGAATAAGCATTAAAAAGGGATTCAAACAACGTAAAAACATTGAGAAGAAAAGCAATTGCTCTTTAAAATTTGGGAAGATTGGAAGAAAGTGTAAATTCACTTAATGCAGCTTTGTAAATTACTCCAAGTGATTAATCATTGAAATAAGAGTATTTAACAGCTTAACAAGTAAAATAATTAAATTTAAATTAGACTTGTTAAAGCTATTTGGAAGGTTTGAAATAAATTCAAAATGAAGATTATTAAAAGGCCTTATATTAATTTTAATAAGTTATATAAGTTTGTTAACAATCTCTGGAAATTTAGATATTATTTGTTGAATGTTTAGCTAAGTGTGGTGAAAATGACAGAGCTAGTAAATGGTTAATGCAAATTTAAAGTGAACATGGAACAACTCCTGATGTTTATTATTTAAAAGGAATTATTGATTTATATAATGGAAATAGTGAAAGAGCAAAGAAAATATTAATTGATGGTATGAAAGTTGATCCAGACAATAAAAAATGTAGAGAAGCATTAAAGAAAGCAAGAAAATGTGAAGAATTAAAAGAGAAAGGAAATCAATTACTTTAAGAAGTCAAATTAAATGATGCCATTGAATGTTATACTGAAGCATTGAGTGTTGATCCATATAATCGTAAAATTAATTCAATTATATATGCCAATAGAGGATTAGGTATATAAATTAAATTAAATTAAATTTAGTTAAATAAAAAATGAATTAACATAAAGAAGCTATTGAAGATTTTACTAAATCTATTGAATTGAATCCCTAATACTATAAAGCTTTAATGAGAAGAGCTGAATCATATGATAAATTAGGATAATTTGGAGAATCAGCTCATGATTATTAATAAGTTATTTAAATTGAACCATCTTTAGAATAGGAAATGGCATAAAAATTAAGAGAAGCTTAAAAGAAAGAGAAATTAGCAAAAAAGAAAGACTATTATAAAATATTAGAAGTTGGTAGAGATGCAACAGAAAATGAAATTAAAAAATCTTATAGAAGATTGGCTTTATTATGGCATCCTGATAAATTGAAAGATAAAGATGAAGAAACTAAAGTAAACATAATAATAAATTATAGTAAATTGGATAATAAAAGTTTAGAGATATAGCTGAAGCATATGCAGTCTTATCTGATAAAAAAAAGAAGGATCTTTATGATTCAGGAGTTGATCCTAATGATTAAAATGGTGGATTTGATGGAGGAGTTGATCCTTCTTAAGTTTTCTAAATGTTTTTCGGTGGTGGAGGTGGTTTCCAATAATTCCCATTTGGGGGAGGAGGAGTTCGTTTTGAATTTAGATGAAGTCAAAATCTATAATTTTAATGTTAAAAATAAATAATGTCTTCTACTTATAAAAAGTTGGGTATTGAATTTAAAGAATTGCCATAATCTCAAACAGATGAAGCTATCTATTCTATTCAATCTATGAGACTTGAATAAATTTTAATATCAGAAGGAGAAATATTTGATTGGCCAAATCTTTTAAATCGTCCAGATTTAGTTAGTTTAAAGCATCCAGATTAATTAGGAACTTTAATTATGAAGGATGAAAAAGAACCAAGCAGGTCATTCTTTCTTTTTGATATTAATAGTCCATTAAGGAATATGGTGATTGCTACAATAAAGTCAAAGTATGCTTATATTAATATTAAGGAAATATTAATTAACATATTTAATCATAGCAGTAATTGGAATTATACCTTTTTGTATGGAAGATTCAAAAGTTAGTTTAGGAATAGAAATTATTATAAATTTGATATTAGCAATAGATATTATTCTAAAATCAATAGCAAATGGGTTTATTTTAAGCAAGAAATCATATCTAAAGAATATTTGGAATATATTAAATTTTATAGCATTTATATTTACATGGTTTTTGTTTTGGAATGATTCAAAAATTTCATAAATAATATAAACTATAAGGTTTTTAAGAATCTTTAGATTTATAGAAGAGATTTCAATATTAAAAATATAGTTTAATGCTTATGTTGGAAGCTTTTTAAGAGTAAAATAAGTTTTAATACCTATTTTTTTGGTTATGATTTATTTCTCAATTATTGGTTTACATTTATTTATAGGTTTAACAGAAAGAAGATGTCGTTTAACAAAATATCCTATAGATAATATTTGGATAGCAGATCCAAATATTCAAAAATTATGTGGAATTTGGGAATGTCCAGAAAATACTTATTGTGGAAGTCCTTTAGATTATAATCTTCCTAGAAATGAAACTGAAAATGATATAGAAGCATTTAATTGGAATTTTACAAGATTTGATGATTTTTTTCATTCATTGTTAGTTGTCTTTACATTTTTAAATGTTACTGGTTGGTCTGGAACAACATTTATGGTATAATTTAATTAAATATTAGTTTTGGAAAGCCATGACAACATATGTAACTGCAACATATTTTTTAATTATGATTTTATTGATGGCTTTTATACTTTCTAATTTATTATTAGCATTGTTTTATGAATCCTTTATGGAATAATCATCTATAAAAAATACTTAAAAAAAATTAAAATAAGACTAATAACAGATAGAAGAAGAGATTAAAAGAAAAAATCAATAATAACTAATAAATCGTCTTAGTGATATTAGTAAATAAAAAGAAAAAGCAAATTAAATTTCTAATTTTAGTATCTATTTTAAAGAAGAATAAAACATTAATATTAAAGAAGTTGAATAAGAGTTATTTATTAATAAACTCTTAAATTCTCCTAAAATCTCAGTTTTAAATACTTTATTTATTTTTCTTTCTGCTTTTGTTATTGCCTTTGATTATGATGGTATTTCTAAAATTTACGTTCAAAATTTTTAACTTATTGATTTTGTTTGTATATTTTATACTTTTTTTGAGATAACCATTTAATTTTGTGGAAAAGGTATGAAAGAATTTTTTGAAAAAAGAATTAATGTTTTCGATTTTTTGATAATTTTATCCTAATGGCTTTTAATTTTCTATTTAGTATGTTTTGATTAACCTATAATATATAATAATAGTAGAGACATTATATTTATAAAATCTCTTAAAATTTTAAGAATATTTAAATCATTATTTTTTGCAAAAGTATTTTACACAATTGCAGTACTTATAAGATCTTTAATAAGTACTTTAATAGCACTTAAGAAAATATTGTTTTTATGGATTTGTCTAATATTTTTAATGTCTATATTTGGTAAGCATATATTGTAAAACAAAATGTCTGAATAAAATATGACTATATATTATAATGATCTTGGATCTGCTATAATGGCAGTAGTCAATATATTTTATAATGAAGAATGGCATATAACAATGTATAAATATGGTAGAAACACTGAAGCATCTATTGTATTTTATATTCTTTGTGTTATTTTTGGATAAATATTTTTTATTAGATTATTAACAGCTGTCTTTTTAAATGAATTTGGTTAACATATTGTAAGTGTTTAAATAAGTCTGAAACCAATAGATTATAAAAAGTTATTTTCTAAAAAGAAAAAGAAGGTATGAATATTATTATAGTAAATAGATTGAAAATATAGAAAGCGAATCAAAATTATAGTAGGTTTAATAAGGAAAAAGAAAAGAAAAATAGAGATAATATTCTTATTTGAATAATTGTAAAGTTAAAGGGGAACAGAAGAATATTAATCAATAATAAGGTAAAACCTCATTTTAAAATATTGATGAATTATTTAACCTTTTTCAAGAGAATTAATAAGAAAGTAAATAATAAATAGTTAAATCTGATGCTGTAATTAAACAATTAGAATAAGAGAATAAAACTTTATTTTTATTTGCTGAAAAAAATCCGTTACGTCTTCGAGTTAAGTCTTTAATTGAAAATTTACCATTTAGAGTATTTCTAATTCTTCTGGTTCTGATATGTGTCGTAAGAACTATGCTGTTGACCCCATTTTTAGATCCAGAATCTGATTTATTTTCAATTTTAAGAACAGTCCATTTAGTAAATACTGTTTTATTTTGCATTTAAATATTTTTTAATATTATTTCTGATGGTTTAATAATTGGAGAGGAATCATATTTATAGAAATCACCTTACAATGCACTTAATTTCATTATTACAACAGTAGATATTATTGCTATTTTTAATTATAATTAATTAATATTTAACCTTTTTTCAAGTTTAAGGATTTTAGAGTTTATCAGAATTGGAGCAGAATTAAATTAAAATATTAATTATGTATCATAAGCATTGATGAAAGCTTTTTAAACTATGATTCAATTAAGTATATTTTGTTTTGTAATTCTACTTGTATATGGAATATTTGCAACAAAACTATTAAAGGGTTGTTTATATTATTGTTCAATATCAAGTTAATTATAAGATTAAGTAAATAATAAATGGGATTGTATGGACAATGGTGGTTCATGGGTAAATAAGATATTAGGATTTGATAATATATTTGATAGTGCTTTAACTTTGTTTGTCACTGCAACTACTGAAGCTTGGCTTCCAATCTTAATAGATACATGGAGTTCAAGAGGAAAAGATCTTGCTCCTATTAACAATCATAATAGATGGTGGGCAGTTTATTTTTAAGTATTTTTTTTTATTGGAAATATATGTATGCTTAATATGTTTATAAGTTTGGTTGTAAATACATATTAACAAACAAAAATAAAAGCTTAAGGTATGTCAGATTTAAATGGTAATCAAAGAGAATGGTTGTAAATTAAAAATAGTATACATAATCTTACTCCAAGAGTTAATTATGAATTACCTAAAAATAAGGTAATGCTATTATTTTATTATTATGCTGAGAGTAAGAAATTGAAATACTTTTGGCATTCAATCATTGCATTAAATACAATAATCTTATCATTATTTTATACTAGATAAAATGAGATATTTAGAAATATTCTAATAGATATTAATTAATATTGTATTTTGATATCTGCAATTGAAATTTCAGTTAGATTTATAGTAAAATAGAAGGGAAAAAGAGATATTTTTTTATTAATAGATTGTTTTGGAATCATATTAAATCTTTTTGATTTATTCATATTATAGTTATTGTTTGATAATTTTTATATTATCAGATCTTGTAAAGCATTATCAGTATCATTCCAATTATTAAGAAACTATTATATAATTAGGTAAAAATAAATTATTTTTAAGACGCTTTCCAGAGTTAGAGAAATTATTCAATACAATATTTTCAGTTATACCTTCTGCTTTAGCTATGATATTTATTATGGCTTTATTTCTTTTTATATATGCATCTTTAGGGATGGATTTATTTGGATATTTAAGACCATAAAATTATATTGAAGGTTTTGATCTCCATTTTAGAAAATTTACAACTGCTATGTTTTCCTTAATCAGAGTAGCTAGTTCAGAATAATGGTGGGCTTTATTAGTTGATTCAGTGCATACCAGAACATCAGATTTTGCTTGCATTTACATTAATGATTATTAAGATTATTAAGAACATGGATATAATGGATGTGGAACATATTGGGCATATGCTTATTATATTTCCTTCCATCTTATATTTTCATTAGTCATACTCAACTTATTTATAGCTTCTATACTTGGTGCATATGAAGAACATGTAAAATCAGAATAGAGTGCAATTTCTAAATATTAATTACATGATGTATTGAATCATTGGGCATAATATGATCCAAAAGGAACAGGATTTCTTAATTATAAGTAGTTTTGGAAGTTATCTTCACAAATTGCTATCTGTTTTGGAGTTCCAGTTAAAGAACTTTTAGATCCTGCAAATAAAACTAATTTTTTAAGGGCATTAAATATTCCACTTTATGAAGATGAATAAGGTCTAATGGGTTATTTATTTCATGATGTAATTGTTAGTTTGACTAAATTATCTGTTGAATTAAAATATGGTGTCAAAGAGTATAAATTGTATTCATTATTAGTTTGGAATCAAGTTCATATAAATGCAAAGAATATTTTCATGATTATTATAAAATATTTAAGATTACACCATATAATAGTGGTTAAATGTCAAGTATTATTTTCATTTAAGGAAAAATCAGAACAATAAGAAATAGAAAAAAAGGGATTAAATTTATTAATATTGAAGCTCTTAAGTAGGAACTTTAAAATTAAAATGATGCTTAATATAATGATAATTGATTTTAATTTAAACTTTGATATATTTATTATTAAAAGTTAGCATTTTTTTAGAATTAAAAATCATAATCAATTTTTATTTAATTCATTTTGTTTAAAATAATTAATTTATTGTGTAAGAAATATATTAAATATTAATTAAACATAAATTTTATATATGGATTAGCAAGAATTAATTTGCTTCACATGTCATAAAGTATTTAAATTAAAGCGAGCTTTATAAGAACATTAATTAATCCATTCTGGGGAAAAGCCATATAGATGGTTAGTTTATATAGATAATTTACTAGTGTAACATGTAATTAATAGTTTCGATAATATTCTTCATTATAAAAGCATGACCGTATTCATACAGGTGAAAAACCATATTCTTGTTAAGAGTGTGATTAATCATTTTCTTAAATATCAAATTTGAAAAGACATTAATTTAAACATAAAGAACAAAAACCATATACTTGTGAAGTTTGTTAAAAACAATTCATTACTAATTAAAATTATTAATAACATTATAACAAACATAAATAATAAAGATAAAGTTATGTTTGTGAATGTAATCGAACTTTTCTATATAAATGTAGTTTAAAAAAACATTAAAAAATTCATTAGAAACTTGATAATACAGATTAATTCATAAATCTTTAATAAATAAATTAAATTTCAGCAGATCTTAGAATATTTTTTACTGCCTCTCATCCTTAAATTCTTCATTTTAATCATATTGATATATTATTTAATGGAAGATTATATAATTATAATGAATGTAATTATTTAATTACTAATATTAAGAAACTGGTAGGATTGAATTACATGATTTGATTGATTAATAATAATAAAATTGTGAACCAATAAAAGATCATTAACATTTTGATTCATAAACCTAATATGAATTAATTAAATGCATAGATTGTAAATAAGAAAGATGTTGTTGCAAATAAAAATAACTTTTTAATAATTGTTGTTTAGCTTGTAATGGTGGAAATTGTGGTGAAACTCCATTTGCAATATCCTAAATAATACATTTTCATGGTCCAAATTGTGGTCATCCAATTGTTATTCATAATGAACATATCGATTATTTAGTTAATGAAATGCTTCATTATCCTCATGATGGTCATTGTGATAATCATGGAATTTTGAATAGAATTAGAGTGAAATGATAATATATAATTAATATAATTCAAATATAAGATGGATTTGAATTCAGATGAATTTTTTTATGGTATAAATAAGTCTTTGTACTTTAAAACAGAAGAATAAAAGAATGAAATGAAAAAAATGGATCCAGAGTACATTACTAAAACGTATTTTATTATAAAATAATATAGTGGAACTGATTTTGTATTATTGCCCAATTCTCCTGAATTCATTAACCATAATGAACCATTTGAACCTATGTATATACCAAAACAAACAATTCTAGAGGAAAGTTTAAGAAGAGAGATTGAAAGAATATGTTTTGCAGATACTTTGTTAAATAAAGTAGTTTTTGATTGTGCAGATCCTAGTCCATTTAATAAAGTAAAAATAGATAATAAAAGTTTATTATTATAGGATACTGATCCTAATGTCTATGGATTAGAGGTATTACCATATTATATACCTTAAACAAAAGAAGACACAACTTTAGTTTTTGAAAGTAGATTTGAAAGTGGGAATTTGAGAAGAGCAATTTAGATGTAAAAATGAATAAAAGAATGATAGATGTGATTATGAATATAATCTAATTCTGAAGCCAGATTATTATACAACAATGAATACTTAATGGTTTTATTTCTCATTATCAAATACAAGGAAGGATGTCGAATATAGGTTTAATATCATAAATATGATGAAACCTGATTCATTGTATAATTCAGGAATGAAACCATTAATGTATTCAGAATAAGGAGCAAAACATAAAAGTAAATAATTAAATATATATTTAGAAATTGGATGGTTTAGAGATGGACATGAAATATGTTATTATTAAAACAATATGAAACGTAAAAATGGTGGTTATTATTACACTTTAACATTTGCAGTCAAATTCTAATATGATTTTGATTGTATTTATATAGCTCATTGTTATCCTTATACATATACTCATTTATGTAGGTATCTAAAATAATTGGAATCTGATCCAGCAAAAAAAAATAGAGTTAAAAGAAAATAATTATGTTAAACAATAGCTGGAAATACTTGTGATTTTTTAATTATTGGTGATTTTAATAATGGAAAAGAAAAGAAAGGAATTGTTATTACATCAAGAGTACATCCAGGAGAAACTATGGCTAGTTATGTTATGGAATATATGATAGATTTCTTAACTGGTAATACTCATGAAGCAAGAATATTGAGAGAGAATTTTATATTTAAAATTGTTCCTATGCTTAATATTGATGGAGTTGTAAATGGAAATTATAGATGTAATTTAGCAGGTGTTGATTTAAATAGATAATGGATAGATCCTAATAAAAAATAACATCCAACTATTTATCATACTAAATAATTAGTTAAAAAAACAAAAGAAGAAAGAGATCTAGTGTTATTTTGTGATATTCATGGTCATTCAAGGAAAAAGAATATATTTATGTATGGATGTTCAGGAAAAGATCCAAATAGAAAAGAATTAGTATTCCCTATGCTTAATAGAAATAATTGTAGTGTCTTTTCATTTAAAGATTGTTGTTTCTTACTCTAAAAAGATAGAGAAGGTTCTGCAAGAGTAATTATGAATTATCATATCATAAGATTGCTTTGTGGAGAGAATTCTCAATAATAAATTGTTATACCCTAGAAATGTCATTTTGTGGAGCTGATTTTGGTAAATATGAATATTTTCATTTTAATTTGGATATATACAAAGAAATTGCATAATCATTTTGTTTATCTATTATAGATTGTTATGAACCAGAATAAATTAAAGTTAAATAGATGATGGAAGAAATTGAATAAAACAGTCTTAAAAATTAATAAAAAGATGATAAGAATAATTCAGGTGATGAAGGATCTGATTATTCTAATGATGATCCAAAAGAGTAAGCTATGCCATAGTAAATTCAAGTTTAATCTAATGATTAATGTAAATATCTATTAATAGTAATATAGAATTAGGTTCATAGACAAAAAAACTTAAAAAAATACCACTTCTACCTCCTAAGAAGAAAAAAGGACTATGAATATACATTAGAAATAATTAACTGATTAATTAATTTAAATTTATGAATTTTCCACCTTGGGGAACTGTCTTGGGATAACCATTTGGTGTTGCAGCTTATTCTAATATTGGATTTGTATTTGACAGAAATAAAATACATGAATATTAAAGTTATTGGCCTAAAGAAGAGACTGGTTTAGCAAGAGATGTTTATATTGGATTTAAGTAAATCTCAATTCTTAAAAAAAAGATATCAATGTGTTGAATATGCTAGAAGATTTCTAACTTTGTATTTTAAAGCTGCCTTTTAAGATGTTCCACATGCACATCACATTTGGGCACTTGATACAATTGAAGATTGTACTAAAGAAGAAGGAACATTCCCATTTGTCAATTATCCAAATGGCTCTAAAGAGTTTATTATTTATTTTATTATAGACCACCTAAAATTGGAGATATAATAATATATCCTTATTCAAAAGAATAAAGATTTGGTCATGTTGGAGTTATTATTAATGTGAATTTGGAAGAAAAGATAGTAGATATTGCTGAATAAAATTATGAAGAGGCTGGATGGGAATGTCCTGAATATGCAAGAAGATTAATTATGAAAATTGAAAATGGATAATATTTCATAACAAATTAAAGAATTGGGTAATATTTGAATTTTATCTTATAGAAAACCTTATGATAATTGGGACATTAAAGAAGAAATTTTTGGATGGAAGAGAATAGACATGAACCCAAAACTATGATTTATATTTGTAATTCATTTTTCAAATTTTTAATTGAAATAGTTTAAAAAACAATTTTCATTAATTTTATATATAAAATGTTAAATCACTAAAAGTAGTATTTAATAAAGATTTAAAATATTCTAAAAATTCAGTTATATCTTCTTATTATCCATTCTCCTATCTATCATAAATGATGCTTTAATATTTCTTTTTATCTATGGATAAGTAAATTATAATCTTTTTTATTCAAATAGAAGAAAGCATAAAAGAATATGAACAAAAATATTCAATCAACCCATTTAAAATTAGCTACATCGAATATGTTTTCAAAAACGTCCTAATAAAATATTTAGTCAATTTTATCTCTACATTAAAATTAAAATTATGATCTAATTTATAAAACTAAATAATGTATTAATTAAATGAATTTGATAGTTTTTAATAATTACTTTGAATTATTTGGAGAATAGCTTATTATAAAAATATAATAACCAAAATTAATAAAAAATTAATAAAAGGGTTCCTTTATCCGAACTAATGAATTTAATAATCGTAATCAACATTAAGTTTATACAATTATTTTAAAAATTATACTAAATATATATAATAATTTGATAAAACTACAATTTAAGAACAACAGAATTATAATTATTATAATATAGAATTAAGTAATAATACTACTAAAAGAATTGAAATCAAGTATGATTTAAAGATGTATAGACAATAGAGAAATAAATAGATAATTTTAAGTTTTAAATTTTAGAATAAGATATAAATGTAAATAATCATACAATATGAAAGTGAATCTAGAATCAATTAGATATTTAAAATCCACATTATTTACACTTAGATTGATAAAAGTAATTTTCATTTGCACAAACTCTACATTGTTTCATGAAATCAAAATTTTTATTTACTGTTTCATATTAAGTATATGATAAATTTTCTAAGAAAAGTGCTTGATGAAATGCAGTATGATCTTGTGCATTACTTTCTACACTATCAGCAGTACTATGTCCACTACCTGTGAGATCAGGTTCTTATAATTTTAGTGTTTCTATAATGCTGGGTTATTCAATAGGAATAAATTTAGTGCCTGGAACATCCCTTGTGAATGTGTGGCAACGATTGCAATACTTCCTAAATGAATAATTGAGGTTTTTGCATCCAATACAAATCCAATCTTGATGTCTATTTTGCATTTCTATTGAATATATTTAATTAATTTATTTATTTAATGACAAAACAATTCATTCACATGCAATTTTGTAGTCAAAACTTGTTAATGCAATTTAAAATGCCTATAAAGGAGTAATAGGATATTAGAAATCTAAATTAAAGAGATCATCTCCAACCCTCCCAAATTACAACAAAATATTGTCCTCCTTATTTTAAACAATAAGTTGAAAATTTTTGACACTTGGCTTATCTACTCTTTAATAGAAATTAAGAACAAAAGCTTTGTGTCTACTATTCCATTAAGGAGGCCTATTAACATATGTTACAATATGATCCCTATTGTTATTTAAATATTCTTTTAGTATTCCATCCTTAGAATTAGTAGGTTTAAAAACATACATTTATTCTCTTTCATCTAAATTTGGTAATAAAACCTTAATAATTATAATACAATAATACCACCATTTTTCTTGGTCCTTTGGATCCTAGTAGATTGCTTTCATATTAAATGATACCAAGTTGTTATCTAATTTTAGATTGATCTTTTGTTTTTTCAGGATTTAATCCAGCATCATATAAGATGAATTCAGTTCCCATAAAATTGCTTCTTACTTTACCAATAAAATTATTTCCTTTATCTAAGTCTTCTCTTGACATAGAGATTATATAATTGCTTGTGTTATTACAAGCTCTCTTTTTTGAACTCATCAGATACATAAATCCATTTGAAATATGAAGATGATATTTAGGATAAAATCTACTCATTCCACTTCTATCTCTCTTGATTGTACATTAGATCATCCCTCCTTTAGGGGCAGGATTTAAAAGGAAATGTTTCTTTCCATTTGGGAATTCTATGGATAGGAGAGGTTTTGGATATGGACAAGTTTATTTAGGTTATTCTTAAGGAACTTATTGTATATCTTGTTTATTGTCTTATTACTCTTTAACTTCATGTGTATCTTGAGTTATATCCATCTATATTTTATCATATTATTATTTCAATTCTTTTCTTATTTCTTATTCTTTTTATTATTAGGACAACAATCCATCATCATTCTCATCCTCATCTTCTTCCTCATTCTAATCTTAAACTATTATTTCTTATAATTTCTAATAATTATTATTATCCTATGTTATGTCCTCTTCTTCTTTAATTATCTATTTATTTATTATAATCTTATCATCATCAACATTATTTTCTTGAGGTTTGAATTTTAAACTTTAACTTTCAATAAATTATATTTTATTATTTTGCTTTTAAAGTTAAGGTAAAGAATCATCTTGACTTAATTATTATCCAGGCTCATAATATTGATTATGATTATTTCCAATAATAGAAAACTTAAATATACCTTGATTCTTACTTTTTCAAATTCTAATTCAAAATCTTAACCATAAGTAGACTCATTCTGACCAAGTTTTTTTTTGTATTGTTTATTACTCTATAATACACTTAACTATTAAAATTCTAATGTGTCTTATGGTTTTGTATATTATTAAGGCTATAAATAATTTGATTGCTTTACACCTTATGCTCTTCTTATTTATTTTGACTATCTATTAAAGGAGTTGTCTAATTTTTAATGTCTTATTATTCTGGATCTGAATCAAATTAAACTAAACTTTCAACCATTTCATCATTCTATTATATTTGAGATTCTGACTATTTCTTTTGTATTTCTATCTCTTTCTGAAACTTATAAAATAATAGTTACTTGTTAAATTCTACTCAAAGGCTTATTATCTTATTTAGGTTCTTCTTTTGTTTTTGCTGAAAACTTAGTGATATTAGATCGTCCTTTTGGTTATTATCTTTAACTAGATTAAGGATTTGGGTTGACAGGTTCTTAAGTATCATCCTCTATGTATTAAGGATTAAGGAACATTTAAGACAAATTAATTTATAATATAAATATCATTCATTAAATCAATCAGTAGCTCTAGTTACGAAACATGACATTGCTATCTAAAAGGCCTGCAAAGGTAAGATTGGCCATTAGAAATCGAGATTGTATAAGCCTTTTTCAATTTTTCCTAATAGAAAAAAAACTTTATTATTATCTGATTGACACAATTATAAATTCTTAGATGAAGCTATCAAAGCTCTATTGTAAAATGGTAAAACGAATGTCTTTGCTTCTTTACTATATTCTGCTACTCTATTCTAAAATTCTTAAAAATGTTTTGGTTTACTCTAAAAGTATTTATACTTTTCTAATCTGTATTCAAACATCTAATTATCTGAGTTTAATTCAGGTAAGTATACCTAATTTTAATAATTAAATTACTCTAATTTTATGAGGTTTCTTCATTCCAGTTTTTTAATAATTAGCTCCTCCAATACATAATCTTTACATACTAACTGTTGAACATTTTTTTGGACTTATTTTGTTATCCCAAAATATAAAATTTTAACCATATTTATCCCATTTCAATTTTCCAGCAAAATAATTCAAACCTGATTACTTAATTATAATTTTCCTTTTTTATTTTAGATCATTTATTTCAGCAATCAAAATTGGTAAATCAAAAATTGTTAATTCATACTTTGTATTTTACTTTGAAGATTACATTCTAATTTTACGAATTTGACATTGTAGAATACCTTCGTTTTAAATTGGCTATAAAATAAACTAAATTTTATCAAATGGAATTCTAATCTGTTCTAATGGATTTGGATAGACTAGATTTTGGCATTAATTTTAGTTCTTAATTCCCTCTTTTTCATTTTCAAATATTTAATATTGAGTTGATAATTAAACTTTCTCAGATTCTTCATTTTTGTCATAAACTTTACTAATTTCTTTTAACTGAGATTCTGGATCATAACAATCAAATTTTGAAATAGATAAATCATCTTAAAGCTAAAGTTAATAATTGTTTGATTCCCTGAATATCTAAGGAATATGTGATTTATACATAATAAAATTATTGTAGTTTGGTAAGAATTAATATGAATTATATTATAAAAATTTTGCACAAAAAAACATAATAATTTAATTATAATTATCCTAATTCTATATCTTAAATTTTCTTAGAAGTAATCTACTTATACGTAACCCTTTTAAATCAAAAGAAAGATTTAAGTTTCTTCTTTGCATCTTAAAGTAAAAATACATTTATGTCAATCTAAATTTCCATTTAAATCATAATTGAAACATGTCTTATACATAAAATTATTATTCAAACTAAAAAGCAATTTTAATGAATTTATTTTCTCAATTTACACATAATTTTAATAATTTATACTTATTTTAATATAATCTGTTATTTTAAAGGTTAAAAATAATTCAAATAAAAAAAAACTATTTCAAACTATTGAATAATTGATGAAAGTTTCATCTAGCACTTAATTCTTATGCTTTTGACATCATAATATAATGATATAATTTCATAAACTTACAACTTTAATTCTATAATTGATATTAAATTTCTATTGATTTGGTTATTATTGAATACATTCTATTTTATTAAATCCAAGCAATCCCAATTTATGACCAGATCAATGTAAATTAATACATTTTATCTGTATATATTGACTATTGATGATTAAAGTATTATGGATTCTATAATAAAAATATTGAATTTAGAATATTATTTCTTCAATTAAGTTTTTAAATATTATAAAATAATATTCCTCTATATTTAACATTTAGAAAATTCAATTTGAATACTATTTATCCAAAGAATTTTAATTTGAATTAATTTTATTGTAACTTTAAGTAATCAATTTACAATAGTTTAAAAGGATCAAAATACTAATAATATTATTATTTATTCTAATAACAGAAAAACTCAAGAATTTAATTAAATACATTTATATTAATAATAAATCT